CTCTACAGTCTCAAAGACCACAGATTAGAACTCATAGCCTGTCTTCCTCCAAGACCAATGAGGCCAATTTTCTCTCTCGCCTGTCAACCCACCTAGTCTTCCTTGTCATCCTTTACCACCCAAATTCTCATCTCTAAAATGCTGTTTATTCTTGATCTGACCCAATCTCCCATGCTTCCTCTCCTCAAATTCTTCCACTGTCCGGGAACTTTCTATTTGTGTTCACGAAGCTCCTCACATAACTACATAGCTTTTCTGAATGAAAATTCCCTTAGCTCTTTGTCCTTTTGGCTGATCCCTTAGGACACTGCTTTTCCTCTATTTCTCTCTCAGTTTATTACCACTATTCCATTTACATCAGGGTGAGGGGATAACTAAAGTTATTTTCCTTGCTCTTCACTGCCATTTCCAGACCATTATCTCTCTTCCCTCTTACGAAGTCATGCTTTTCTGAGGCTCATACCATCTTGCAACACCCCCGTCCTCTTCCTCTTTATTGTCATCTCTTGATCAACTGGTCTAATCCTCATTCATTAATCTTCACTACTCTCCAAGGTTTTGACATCCACATGGATTTGATCAAAATCTCAATTCTCCTTTTTACTCCATTTAACTCACCATTTGCATTATTACACCTTGAATCTTGTCATCATAGAAACAGAACTACCACTGATTAAATATCCCGTTCTTTAAACGTAAGTTCTTATCCTTGGAGCTCTTCTTGTACCTGGTACACCCAATGACCCCATCACTTTTTCCTTTTTCATTAGCACCCTTTCCTCTCCTCACACCCCTTCACGTCCAGTCCATATTTCAGAGTTCATCTTTACTGTAATTATTGTGTCAAGATCTGCAACTCCCTGTCCCTCCCTTGTGGTCATGTCTACTAAAACCTCAAACCTGTATGAACCTATGAACCTACTTCACCCTTCTTTGTGCTTTTATCTAAGAAGCTGAACTTTGGTGGGGAAAAATCATACAATTAGGCATGCTGCTTTCAATTTATATTCATGACCTCCAACTTCACACAGGCATTCAACATTGCTCAGCACACCTACTGTTTTCCTCTACTAAGCATACACTCCCTACCCTCACTGAGATTTCTATTTCACACCTACTTCTCTCTCCTGAAACAGAACTACCTAATCTTCCCTAATTTGGGAGTTCCCAAAACTCCCTAATCTTGCATCCATTTTTCTCACTACCAGCTAATAATCTTGCCTCATTAAACCACCAGATTGGAACTCCCTCATCTTCCCATCTCAAAAATCAGTAAAACTTCCAGCATCTGCACCCAGCTTCTAGTCTGGTTGGACTTACTCCATGTCCTCAACTACCCAGGAAGATTCCTTGCAATGGTCCAACTTGCTTCTGATTTTAAGTCTTTAAGCTGTCAGCTTCCTACTCTCTACAAGCAAATTTAGCCACATTCACGCTCATCTTTTCCCCATATGTTACACTCAAAGTCTTTTTATCTAATCCTTAAATCTATGCTCTGGATTATATCTCAATCTGGTTCCCTTGGACTCTATCAATTACCACCACCTTATATATTCAACCTCAAGCTCTCACTTCCTTCCTCCCTCTCCCTTCTGTCTCCTTCAAGTTTGTGTGTGTGTGTGTTTTAAAGATTTTATTTATTTATTTATTTATTTGAGAGAGAGCGAGAGTGTGAGAGAGCACAAGTAGGGGGAGCAGGAAAGGGAGAAGCAGGCTCCCCGCTAAGCAGGGAGCCCAACTCGGGGCTCCACCCCAGGACCCTCGGATGGTGACCTGAGCCGAAGGCAGACGCTTAACCGCCCGAGCCACCCAGACATCCCTTTTTTTTGGCATTTAAAAAATAGCCTTTACTTAAGAGAAAAAAATACATGGAGTCACAAGTGTTCCTAGAATGTGGGATACATGGTTCTCTGCTGTTTCTAATTCCTGTCTACTTTTTTTTTTCATAAACTCTATACATCAACCCTAAAATGCTGTGTATTTTTTGAGAACATTCAAAACCATTCATTCACTCCACAAGTATTTATTGCCACCCACTAACGTTCCATGTACTCCTTACAGGTGCTGAGAATTCAGCAACGAGATATTCGGCTTGGCCAGGCAATCACCATTCAGACAGACACAGTCAGTTACCTCACCAGCTCTATTCTCTCCATTTCCATTCCTCTGTCCTAACTGAAATTATCTCTTCCCCACGTAAGCATATGCCTCACAGAAAGCTGATACCACTTCCAAGGGTGGTCCTGATTATTTTCTCCCCAGCCTTCTTGAGATAAAATTGACAAATAAAAATTGTATATGTTTAAGGTATACAACTTGATGTTTTGATATTAGTACATGGGAAATGATCACCATAACTGCATCAATTCACGTATCTACCTCACATAGTTAGTTTTCTCTATCTTAGCAAATCTCAAGCATACAACACCATACTGCTAACTAGAGTCACCATGCTGTACATCACGTCCCAGAACTTATCCATCTTGCATAACTGAAACTTTGTATCCTTTGTCTTTCAAGTCTTTCTTAAACACCCCCCCTCCCCCAAAAAAACCTGTTTTCCTTTGACCTCATGCTTTCTTTGCACTCTCCTCCTGGAGCTGTTTGTTCACACTCACTCAGCCCTTCCTTAACTCCCATTCATTCCTGATCTGCTGCAGTTCAGCTTCTGCTCACTTAACTAAAATGGCACTTTCAGAATGGTCTTCAAAGGTCTCACTGACGATTCCATGGGTATTTTTCAGCACTGTGTTAACTGACTGCTTGCAGTACTTTGCAGTGATAACTATAGGAGGCCTCTTTTCTTGCTTTCTGTGACAGCAGTCTCCTGACCACTCTTACCCCCTCTTAGTTTTAATCCTAAATTGCCTCTGATGAAAGTATCAACAAGCAGTGAAAGGGCTGGAAGGCAGGAAGCAGAAGGAAGAAAGCAAAACAAGAGACAAGAATAATCTGCTGGCCTGTGGAGAATCAAATGCTAACTGAAATAATCAGACGTTGTGAGTGAGTACAGCCCCAAAATCATCAAACCTCATTCTGTAGATAAAGAAATGTAGGGTAAATTTCTGTGCAACCTATAGCACAAGTTCTAAGACCAGATAATCCGGCCACTCATGCCACCACCATAAAGGAAAGGCTGACACCATCTTTCCAACTTGTGCTACCTTTGCTTAAATAACAAATGAGTTCTACTTATCGTGTTCTTGTCTTCACTGTGGGTGAAGACATACACATATATATACATGCAACTGCCCTACTGCTGTAGAATGCACAGTCAAAATCTAGGGTCACCAAGAGCTAAATACAAAGCACCTTTCTTTAAACTGTATTCAAACAGAAATTCATTGAGTATTTGAAATACTCTGTGTGCTACAAATGACAAAGTGAGCTATTTATTTATGCATATGATTGAAACATTTTTTATTTAAAGTGCAAGCATGTCTAACCATGAGGCCTGGTAACTAGACATAAGTAAAGCTGTCCCTGCATTATTGGCTAAGATTTTTCCTTACAGCAGTATTAGGAAGCAGCCTGGTATATACATGACATAACCTTGCCCTACATTTCAGAAGGAGTAAGTTTTATTTTAAACAGTAATTTTCAGTGATATGGGTAAATGATTTAATCTCACATTCCCTTAGCTTTCTTTTAAATTGAATCAGTAACCATCCCAGCAGTTAACCCAACACACAGGGATGTTATAAGGGAAATAGGTAGTTATTTCTAAGTGTTTTGAGTTCCTCATGAGACAGGTTACTCCGGGCAACCCCATGAATTTCTGGCATTAGACTCAAACAGGCAGTTAGACAGCAGAAGGCTATTCAAGCAAACAGAAAGAAAAAAGGTCCACATTGTGTATGTTGTTTCAAACAAAGATACTCAGATAAATGCAAAGAATAGTCTAGTTTTTAAGAAAACAGTAAAGTAACTCAAAGAAAAGGAGCTAGATATTAGAAAATAACCTTAAGTAAGAGGAAGAGGTTGTTGAGACAGCTTAGCAGAGACAAAAGGCACTGCAGAACAGAGTCATCCATATTCCCACACTGTAAGATAAGGCAGATAAAAAGCCAATTAAACTATGTACAGATTTTTAAAAAATTATGTAGGGAAGATAACTTGGCTGGCTTATCTGTCCATCAAAGACAAATTATTTGGTTTTCTTTAACATTTCTTCTACAGGCTATATGCTTGTATAAAATGTATTATTAACATTATTCACCTAAAATTTCCCCTCCATAACTGAAGCCACCATGGTCTCTTTTCTTTAAAATGTTCACTCTGTAGTTGGTGTAATATTATTCTAAGTCAGCAAAAGTCACATGAAGAGATAGATAGCTGTGACTGTTCCCAAATTGGAATGATGTGCCATCAGGCTGGTTTTTACCTTTGAACGCTTCTTTCGCAGGTATGGCTTCGGTATACAACTAATACTACACAAAATGACAGACATACAGTAGAGGTTTTGAGCATCTGCTCTGCCACTGCAGCAAGTAATGAATCATGAACTTACTCTTCATGCAAAGTTCAGAGTGCCAGATTATGCTTTGGATTTCACTGATTATTGCATTACTTCACAAAGGTTAATTACATTATAACAAAGAAACAAACAAAAGAATTTAGTATGTTATAAAAGCCTCTACCATTAGAACTATTTTAAATAACTTTCCATATCTACCATCTTAGAATTTTGCCTAAGGTCATGTTGGCTGAGATCAATTTTCTATACTGACAAAGGCACTTATTCTTAAAATGTATGGACGCCAATAAAAACAGTCAAGAACTGGAAACCATGGTAAATGATTGTTTTTGTTACATAGCAATGTTTATAATATCGACAGAGAACATTAAAAGCAATCTTGTAATCCTGGTATAGCTCAATTATAAGATAAATTACACAAATATACTACATATAACAATAAGAGCTTTAGTTACTCAATCCACAAAATCAAAACGAGGAAGAAGGCAGCTAACTAAAAATGAATATAACAGAAGATAAGTACCTTTAGTTGATTGTTAAATGAATCCATTTCGGAGAGTTTAGATGCAGTTTCTTTTTCAAGAGCATCTAATTGTTCTTTAAGTCTTTGGCATAATTCTTCCTTTTCCAATGATTTTTTATGAAGCAAACCAATCCCTAAATCTGAAATACAAACATCAGATAGTTTATAGTTGGTAGAAATTCTTCTGTCACTACTGGTAATTGACTTTTACTCTCACAATATATCTAAGTCAAACTTAAACTTACACAGTGATGTATGCCAACTACATTTCAGTAACACTGGAAAAAAAAAAGACATATAAATTTAAAATTGCTCCAATGGTAGTCTACATGATGGCTATTTCATAATTTACATAACTATTCCCTTTTGGATTGCCATTAGGTTGTTTCTAATTTTCTACTATTTATATAAAAATGTTGCAATAAATATCCTCGTACATGTATTATAAGCACATGTGAAAGTATTTTATGTGGCTAGGAGGTGAAAGAACTGCCATGTAAAAGGATTTGAACACTTTAAATTTTGACAGAAACTGCCAAACTGTCCTTCCAAAAAGGTAAACTAATATCAAATGACACCAAAGTACCTGTTTCTGATCTCCTCATCAAAGTACCTGTTTCTGATATCCTCATCAACACTGAATATTATCAACCTTTTTTCATTTTCTCTAATTGGCAAAAAAATGAAACCTTATTGTTATTTTAATTTGTATTTCCTTGATAACAACTGAAATCAAATCAACACCTATTTATAGGCTAATCTGCCCCCCTTCTGGATTGCCTCACCCCATCCACTGCCTTTTTTCTTCCTGTTGGGTTGTCTTCATTTCTGATTTGCAGCAACTCTAAATTCTTGTTGTACTGTATGTATTTCCAATGCTGTACTGTTTATGATGTCTTGCCTCATGAAAATGTTTACTTTTGTATCATCAAATCTGTAAATATTTTCCTTCATAGCTCTAGGGATTATTTGAAGAAATGTTCCCAACACTGAGATTATAAAAATGTTTTCCTTCGTTTTTGTAACGTTTTTTCTAGAGGCATTTTTTATGTTTATCCTCTTAGTTTACCTAGACTTTATTTCTGTTCCCCACCTCCCTTTCAGAGTCAACCGTCCCCCAGATTACTTATTGAAGTGACACTGATTACTGAAAGCCCATCCTTTCCCCACTGGTGTTAAATGCCAACTTTATCATATCCTAAACTGTCATATATATACAGACCTGTTTCTAGACCCTCTATTCAATTCCATTGTTCTATGTTGTCTTTCTGATCAATAATATACTGCCTTAGGGACTAGAGCTTTCCTAACTTTTTTTTTTTTTTTTTAATTTAAATTCTATTAATTAACATATAATGTTTGTTTCAGGGGTCCTAACATGTTTTGATACCTGGCAGAGCTAGTGTCTTCCCCTGACCAATGTTACTCTTTTTCAAGTCTTGCCTAATCTTGCACGTTTTCTCTTCTGGGTGAATCTGTGAATTATCTTGCCAGGTTTCATTTAAAGAAACCTGAATGGAAGAACTGAGTGTATGGGACGAAGTGGTAGAGAATGACATCTTTACAGCACTGAGCTAGATCCTTCAGGAACATAACATATACCTCCTTATCCAGGAATCTTTAGTATCTATCAGTAAAATTTTATAGCTACACATTTCTTTATCCATAATGAGAATACTAATGTAAATGAGACCTTTGTTCATGATATTTTCTAATTAAGTACTTTTGATATATAGTAAAAGTTACTGATTTTTACATGCTCACTTTTTATCCAGACATCTTGCTAAATTCTCTCATAATTCTCTAGTGGTTTTCCAGTATTTCAACAAATATTTTCTCAAGAAATTACACATCTGCTATGTGCAAGGCACTGTACTATGTTCAATAGCAGGGGAAAAAGAAGGACAAGGCATGGGTCCTAGCCTCCAGTAGTTCAGAGTCTAGTTCAGTTGGGAGACAAGCAATGTGGAAAAAATCAGTTAATTTACATTCAAAATGAGCATCATGAATAATGGATGTTTCAATACTGAATGTGAATAGATCATATCTATGAACACCATGTTAGATAACTGAAAATTAAGAGAGGCAATGTGGTGGCACGGTGGGCTTTGGACTCAGACAAGAATTTGAGAATGACTATTGCACCACCTTGGGCAACTACTTAATCTCTCTGAGCCTCAGTTTTGCTGAGCTGCACAATGGGAATAACAATACCTACTTCACTGGGCTGTTGTAAAGATTGAAGGACACAGTGCATGAAAACTACCTAGGATGGTGCTTGGCACATGGTTGGTAATCTTCAGTGGCAACAGAGATACAGAGAGGAATCTAAGGGATACAGGGTACTTTGCAAACTGCAAACAAAAGCTTCCTATTTTGAACCAATAACTGTAATAACGGGTGACTTGGATCACATTCTATAAGAAAGACTAGCTCTACCAGGTCCCCAGTATTCTACATTCCATTCACAATCCAAATACTAAAACAACGAGGGTGATGCTATGCTTTCTGCGACTGCACAGGTCAGGAGGGCTGGCTCATCCTGCCTCTGGAACGCCTGGGGAGGGGTGAGGTGGGGGTTGATACACTTTGAACAGCCAAGAAAACAATTCTGTGCAAGGAAGACGGTCTGAGAAGAGACATGGGCAGACCATTTCAGTGGAAGGTTAGAGACGCAGCAGGAACAGTTCACAAAAGTAAAATTCTCTATTCCTGGTGTTTCTTCCACGTACCGGGCCCTTCACTAGGACACCATTCTCAGCTTCTTTCCACCCCTTCAGTAATTGGTGAGCTCAGGATAAGGACTTGGGCATACACAGCCTAGACCCTTCCAATCCCTTGTGTTCTTGAGACTGAACTGCCCACAGTAAACCTGTTCTACTTTGTCGGACACCCGGTTGTTACAGGAGTGGCTGTCCCACTCACAGGTAAGCCAGGCTGTCCAATATCAGCTTTACCAAAAATGAGGCAATATTTTGGTCTCTCATATGTCTTGCTTCTTTGCCTTATTTCGCTATTTGTTCAGAACTTGGGCAAAGACGAGGGATGTTGTTTACTGGACTTCCTAAAGAGCCAGAAGTATAATAAAGAGCCCTGGAATGGAAAGACTGACAGATACTCAAAGAGAGACATTTAGGATACTTCAGTTAGTTCTAACACAGTATTTGCAGATTTACTTTTCTTTAAGTAAACCTTTCTTCTGTTATATTGTTACTGGCATGCTATCCAACATAGAGATTTTTTTCAGTATCCTGGTTGGGACTTGGATCAAGAAAAATGTTACAATCCACAAATTACCTTGGACTATTTTGTTCCAAAGGTGTCAAGAGGGCCAAGCAGGTAAAAGTCTTTATATGAATCAGTTAGGTGATATGAAAGGTCTGGGAAGGGCATTCCATTCTGCTTAGGCCTAACACTGCTGTACACTATCACCCAGAATCTCACAGGCTTGGTCCCATGGTAAAATCTCCTGAACAGTTCTTTACCATTAGTGTAGGATTTGCCAAAATGCACATAACATCTGTGATTTTTTCACACTATTCTGAAATTTTAAACTACAGACAAGAAATGCTATGTATAACAGAATAATGCTATTTGAACAAGTAACAGAGTATGACTGGTACGGTCATTCGGAGAAGAATAAAACAGGTAAAACAAATATTAGAGACTTACCAGGTGTGTTACCGAGTTGCATGTTCTTAATTCTTTCATTTAATAATTGCTTCTCAGGTACCAAATAGATAAGCTTATTTTGATAATCCTTATTTTAAAAAAAAAAAGTTAAAAAAAAATTAAAATTCTGTCATGTTGTCTGAGAATTTTTTGAAAACTTAAATACATGATTTAATCACTCTTAAAACTTAGTATAGGAATAATACATAGCTGTAAACTGCTTACAATTTATGAATAAATTAGGATGGAATTATGTGTCATTTAAAATACAAATATTTAAACATAAATCCATTTATGAATGACTGGCTGGAGAAAAGGTGGTGAAGAAAGTCCTTATCAATGGGGTGTGTCTAGAAGTCTTACAGTTTTCAGTGTACTGATAGATGTCCGTCCACAGGCACAAGGTGAGAGGTGCCTTTGCTATCAGCTAAATGGTATTTGTAAGCAGGTCATGACACCCCAGAATAAATATCAAAGAGAAACTAAAACCTCAGGAGTAACTAGGGAAGCACGTTTAAATCAGACAGGAAATGTTATTTGGCCTCTGTCTGTACCAGCTGTGACACAGCAAGAAGACTTTGTTAATTAATTGCTAGTCTATACAGAAACAGAAATTTAGTAAGAGAACGCCAAAGATGCAGAATGCTCCCAGAGTTCTTATTCTGCAAACCACGATAACTGAGCTAGACCCTACTGCACAGGTAAGGAAGATTACTAAGTCCCTGAGGGACATACACATTCAACACTCTCACCAGAACTGTGAAAAAATAACGTTAAGTCAAAATTTCCTAAGAGTAGTAGCAATAAACTTAGTTTAATGTATAGGTATACCTACACATTTATTAAAGATTTAAAAGTCGAAGTGATAAACATCCATTTACGTACAAATATTAAGCAGAATTTAACCAGATGTCTAGTAGAGCTTTAGGGGGCATCGGAGCTTCCTGATACTATATACAAGATGGTGTATATTTACATCCTTCTAGGTAGGAAGTCCATCAGAGACCCAGAGGGGTTCATCACCCCAAAACAAAAACTATTCTATTAGGAAGAATTATGAACAACTGCTCACATTTATGGACGATTCAGCAGCAAAGGACTAACCTGAAGTTCTTGTTGGAGTTGCTTGATTTCCATAATTTCCAGGTCACACTGCTTATCTAGAACTTCCAGCTCAGTCTTTTGAGTTTGTTTTCGGAGTCGGACATCTTGAAGTCTGCCTGAGATCTGCTGATGTTTGCCATTCTATAGGAAGAGCATAAAAATATATGGTAACATAAAATGCTAATGGGAAAAGCTCCTATCAGGAGAATCATATTCTTTTTCTTTTTTTAAAGATTTTATTTATTTGACAGAGAGAGAGGCAGCGAGAGAGGGAACGCAAGCAGGGGGAGTGGGAGAGGGAGAAGCAGGCTTCCCATGGAGCAGGGAGCCCAATGTAGAGCTTGGTCCCAGGACCCTGGGATCATGACCTGAGCCGAAGGCAGACGCTTAACGACTAAGCCAGCCAGGTGCCCCAGGGGAATCATATTCTTATTTAAACTTTTAAATGTCATTTATCATTTATACTAAGTCTAGATAAATATCTAAAACTAAGTGGGGGGCACCTGGCTGGCTCAGTCTGTAGAGCATGTGACTCTTAATCTGGGGGTCGTGAGTTCGAGGCCCACATTAGGCATGGGGCCTACGTAAAAATAAACAAATAAAATAAAGTGGAATGTGTTCTAAGGTTGTATCTGTTAACTCCAGACAGTTATTATTAGCAGGAAATGTACCATTCTCAGAGCATAAGAGCCCAGATGTTTATATGAGTAAGCACAAACATAGCACACTGAATTTTTTCTGAATTCAGCAGTTAGGCATTAATATATAATATTAAAATAGAGACAGTCTCAAAGAATAATGAGGAGAAACAAACATCTACATGTGACTTTCAGCATTACCTTCTCTAAGCTTCTATTTCTACCCTCCACGTTGTCATCTAACTTCCTCTAATTAAACAGGGTCCAGGAGGGCCTTTTTGGCCACAATTCTCTTCTCCTACACCAAATATTCCTTTCCTCTTCTTCTGAGAAGTAGGGGAAAAAAAAACCAAAACAAACCAGTAAAGATTCTTAATGGAGGCTAAGGAGAAGGGTGAGGTGTTATGGGCTGAAGTGTATCTTCCCATAATTTATATGTTGCAGTCCTAATCCCCAGGACCTCAGAATGTGACTGTATTTGGAGATAGGGTCTTTAAAGAGATCATGAGGTTAAATAAGGTGATATGGATGGGTCCTAATATAACCTGACTTATGACACGAGAAAATCTGGACACAAAACAGACACCAGAGATGCACAGGCAGAGGAGGGGCCATGTAAGGAAAGAGCTAGAAGGCAGCCATCTGCAAGCCAAGGAGAGAGGCCTCAGAAGTAACCAAACCTGCTGACATCTTGATCTTGGACTCCAGACTCCAGAACTGTGAGAAAATTAATTTCTGTTGTTTAAGCCACCCAGTCTGTGGTATTTTGTTATGGCAGCCCTAGCCAACTAATACAGCAAGGTGAGGAGGAGAAATGAAGCTTAAAAATCACTGATAATTTTTTTACTGAAAAGTATGTTTTGTATTTGAGAAACACATGCTAAAAGGAATATGCTGTGTCCACCCTACTAGTGTCCACCCTAGTGATAGTAAGATAGCATTACTATCTTCAGCATGTATAGACTCTGGACCTTCCAGACTCAGCACATTAATCTGTGCTACTGCTTGGTATGCAATCCAGGTTCTTGGGGGAAAAGCGATGAATCAATTGATCAATTTTAAGGAAAAATATAGTCAGACAGAAATCCAAGTAGCTACACAAAGAAGTTAAAGATTTTTAGGCCTGCTTTGTTGTACTATGGCATGAATACATTGTGATATGCTTTCCTGTCCATTTGAAGGCATAAAATAGTACCTATGACCACAAATGTGATTTTTAAAAATTTTAATTTCAATGTCATCAACCAAATAAAATGTTAGACTCTAATTAAAGAAGATTTAAGCCTGGCTCTACAACATGGCTACACATGTATTTTTGCAAAATCCTATTATACTATCAGGTCAGGCTTATGGAATCTAGGGCTGTAGTAGAATAGTATGCCTTCCCTACACCCTTTCTATCTTCTCGCCTTGCATTTGCAACAAAGCCTTTTAAACAACTTGACTCTCTGACATCTGATGTGTAAAAACTGGTAAGCATACTGGCCAATATTAGCTAAGAACCATTATCCTGCAGAACTGGAAGGAATCCTAAGAGACCATTTAGATCAGGAGTTTCAAATCATTTTTTCTTTTAGCAGAACCCTTTTTTCCAAGCAAATCTAGATAAACTCCAAGAAAAGCAAAGCAGGTAACTGTGGAGCTTGTCTGTCATGAGTCATGGGAAGTGCTGGGGAGAAGGGAGCACTGCCCTGCTGCCTTGGCATCCCCCTCCCACTGCTGGTCACCCCTCTGCGGACAATCTTCTAGACACCAATTTCAAAATAGAAAATTACTAAACTAAAAAAAAAGAAAAATTACCGAACTAGCACAACTCTTTATTTTACAGACGGGCAAAGCAAAACACAGAGAAGGGAAATGTCTTGCCCAGGAATACGTAGTTTGTCAGCTTCTGAACTGAGACCGAAACGTAATTCTCAGCATTCTAAGTCATTGTTTGGTAAACTATATTGTCCAGACTGTTAAGCATACATGAAAACATGACTATTTAATCACATGGAAATATCATGTATTCATGAGGTAGGTTTAAAAAACAATGACAGGGGCAGTTCAGTCGGTTAAGTGTCTGCATTTAGCTCAGGTCATGATCCCAGGGTCCTGGGATTGAGCCCTGTGTTGTCGGGCTCCCTGCTCTGCAGGGAGTCTGCTTCTCCCTCTCCCTCTGCCACTCCCTCCTCCCCCTCCCCCCCCACTTGTGCTCTGCTCTCTCTCTCTCTCTCGTGCGCACTCTAATAAGTAAATAAAATCTTAAGAAAAAATTTAAAAAAAAAAGACATTTTTCAACAGGTAACTCTAGCATCATTCAGAGAAATTTCACTTAAACTTCAGCCATACCAATGCTTCCAACTCGAGATGAAGACTCTTCTTTTTAGAGTTTAACCTGACAATTTCTTCCTGTTCTCTATTCCTTTGATTGAGAAGCTCCTGTCGACGAATCCTCTCCCATTCCAAACGACGTTGTCTTTCCAGTTCCTGTTTTGCTGCCTGAAAATAATGAATTATATTAAATTTTTAAATTAACAATTTTGCATCATTCAAAAACTGATGGGATGACAAAGATAAAGGTGAGGCAGCGTTTAGCACTTAGTGGGCTTCAGTGCCTACGTTAGGAAACTGGGCAAACCCAGTTTTATCAGTAGGCCTAACCTACAGACTTCCACAAAAGCAGTATCACCCATCAGACTTTTTTTTTTTTTAAAGATTTTATTTATTTATTTGAGAGAGAGAGAATGAGAGACAGAGAGAATGAGAGGGAGGAGGGTCAGAGGGAGAAGCAGACTCCCTGCCGAGCAGGGAGCCCGATGCGGGACTTGATCCCGGGACTCCAGGATCATGACCTGAGCCGAAGGCAGTCGCTTAACGAACTGAGCCACCCAGGCGCCCCAACCCATCAGACTTTTTGATTGCTTCATGGGACTATCTTCTTGTTTGTAGTTACTTTTTTCTTAAACAAAAAGACAATTTCAGAAATGTAAATGTTACCAGGAATAATCGCACCTTTATTCTGGTATCAAGGAAGAAAAATCCTTCTCCTGACATTACTTCAGCGTCATTATGATTTCTGTGCTCCATCCCAAGCCCCTTAAAACAAAGCCAGTCCTCGTAGGGACACCACACAACAGCATTTATCCCAAGGACCTGTGTAAGCCCACCCTCGTGCTTCCCCTCCAGACCTTTGACTCCCCAGTCTCAGCTTTCTGCTTCTCCAATTCTGTGGCCTCTTACTCTGGATCCTAAGCTTACTTTTGTTCATGCCCTGCCTGGATAGACTTCTTCCTCTGGCTCACTAACCTCAGCTCCTCACTCAACTCAGCTTTGCAATCAGTCCTCCTCTGAATGACTTATCACCTGCAGACAGGCCTTTTCTCCCAGTTACTGGCCCTGAAAACGCTTCACAAGGGAAGGAAGGCTCAGAGTTGGAGAGGATAGGTAAGAATGAATGATGCAGAGAAAGAGGCACAACAAAAATACCCATTTTTAAATCAAATGGAATGAAGCCACTTATTAAATATAATCATTTTCTGAGGAAAAAAATAACTTAAAAATAACCTCTCGTCTTTCTATCTCTTTTCTCCTTTCTTCCTCCCGCTGTCTCTCCAATTCCCTCTGCTTCTCCAAGCGTTTTTCTAATTCAAGTTGTTTCTTCCATTCTTGCTCCTGTAATTCTCTCTGTTTGCGCTCCCACTCTTCCTTTTCTTTCTGAGCTTTACGTTCTGCCTCCCTCTGCTGCTGCTCCATCAGCGCTTGGCGTCGCTTCTCCAGTTCCACGTTCCCTCGCTCGTAGTTGGCCTTCCGCTTGTCCTCGAAAGTAACTAAATAAAGCATGTTGTAAGCACTCTCGCATGAAGAGCCCAACAACGTGGACACCAGTTTCAACACTCTCATGCCTCCTGACCATTTGAGTGCTGTTACTCTGTGGATACTTCCCCTAAGGATAATTTTAACTCAAATGTAAATAGTAAAGTATTTAACTTTTGTCTAAGAGTATTCATTTTTGGAAAACAAATTTCTAAGTTTGAATCCATCTGAGAGAGAGAAATAATTTTACTGTTCCTGCCAATAAAAATACTTTCCAACTTTTTTCTCAGCATTTTCTTCAAGGACAAACAAAGCTATATGGCTATATACTTGTTTTATTTGATATAGTTCACTAACTTTTTAATGCTTTAAAACATCTACATATATACTTTTTCAACCAATATTTAAACTTTTCTTTACAGCTAAAGATTTCATCACAAAGCTTGCTCCAGTGATTTTTCCTAAAGTGGGAGAAACATTTTAACTAGGATGTCTAATACACAGACTCTTGCCAAATACATACACTGCCTCTTCTTCCTAAATACACTTCTCATTTTTTACTATCTTCATTTTATTGATGTCAAAATCCAACCCATTCATCAAATAGTTTTCTCTTATATAAAATATTAATAATGTAATGATTCTAAATACTCGTTTACATCTCAAGGTAAAATTTAAGAGAACCCACTGTAAATATTCAGCTTAGACACTCAATGTTACCTGGTAACTTTTTCTGAGGTTCCTCTTCTTGAATTTTCTGATATGAAGGCAGAGTTCCATTAATAGAATCAATTTGCTTTCCGCCTCTAAGAAAAGCAGACAACAAACGAATTTAGCATCACGCAGTCTGAGAATTTCTAGACTGTATATACAGTTATACTACCAATGACTAGAGCCATTTAATATTTAGAATGCAGTATTAAAGACATTTAGAATGCAATATGGTCTAGAGTTACAATGTACAGCAGGATATGGACTGTCTAGCCAGAGAGATCTGGATTTGCATCACAGTTTAGCTGACTGCTATCCATGAGCAAGTGTGTTCTTAATCTCTGTAGCTGTCAGTTTCCTTATCTATAATATGGTGGAAACACACCCATTTCCACTCCTTCCTGGTATAACTCATTAAATACCAAAATTGAATGGCAGTGTTGATGTTTAACTTCCCACTAAACTAGAGCAGAGGCCTCAGGAGATCGCAATGTAATAATCACGTCTGCCCAGGAATCAAAACCATGCCTCTTCACCTCAAGAGGCGCCCACCTGAAAGACGGAGGGACAAGCTCAGGAGGCAACGTCAGTGGCAACGGCTGGCCGGCTTTGGCCATGTCGGTGAGGTGCATCGCAAGGATGAACTCTTCAGCTTTCAGCTGTCCATCACCATCAATGTCAGCCAGGGTCCTAAAGCAAATGTGAACATTCACAGCTTATAAACAAAGTCTACTTAGAGTAAAATATTTTCAAGAGTTTAATATTTTTGTTTGTTTGTTTTTTGAAGATTTTATTTATTTATTTGAGAGAGAGAGAATGAGAGAGAGCACATGAGAGTGGGGAGGGGCAGAGGGAGAAGCAGACTCCCCGCTGAGCAGGGAGCCCGATGCGGGACTCGATCCCGGGACTCCAGGATCATGACCTGAGCCGAAGGCAGTCGCTTAACCAACTGAGCCACCCAGGCGCCCCAAGAGTTTAATATTTAATTTCAAAACAAGAATAATGACAGGAAAACAGTTGGGTTAACATATTTTAGTGAAATGTAAATATATATGGAAAAGTGAGCTTATTTTTACCCTTCATTGTCTTATCACACAGGAGAGGGGAGAAACTTTGAAACAGAAAGGGAAACATTCCTTCTGAGAAGGTGGCTTGTCTTATTTCATGGATGATTCACCTATCAAATACATTTAGCTCTAAATTAAAAATGAGATATTCCCTAATTCTCCATAGATGCCGTTATGAAAAGGCAAACTAGTTTTACTTACAAAATAATTAAATGCTACATTGTCAAGAATAACAATTTGTACAATTTTATGGGCTTTCAAGGTTGCATTAGCCTTCAAATGGCTGCTTTTATGGAACATCTTTGAGTCACAAACTTTTACAGAAACAGTATTTTTCTTACAATAGAGAATGTATAGTTAAAAATCATAATTAATGGACAAACTCACCAAATAGTAGCTAGCTGCGTTTGAGAAAGATTTGACTGAAGAAGGGCATTTCTAGCTTGAAAACCTGATTGAGTGGGGAAAACCAGAAAAAAAGAAAATTCCTTAGCTTCTTTAAATTCATGCAAACCTAAATAACTGTATTCTATAAAATAATACTGCTGCTATCCTGGGAACTTCTAACATCAAAAAGGTTCTACCACGTGCCAGGTGCTGAGCATTCAGTAGTAATCAAAACACAGCTCTTGCCCCAAGGAATTTAAAATCAAGAATTAGTAACTCAAGTGTTCCCCCATGTCCTTTCAGAAAATAACAGTTCACACCACCGACCAACACGAAGGACGAAGCACTGGCACAGAAAGTACTAGAGGCTGAACTCTTGGGCCTCCTCGTGCTCCCTGTGCACCTCTAAGTACTGCTTTCTTAGCATCTTCAGACTTTCTCATCTCTCTCTTTCCTCTGTCTCTACTCTCCCTCTTCCAAACAACCTGTAAATGCTGGCATTCCCCAAGGCTCTGCCCTGGGCACTCTGTTCTCTTTGTGTGTTCAATTCATTTCTGTGACTTTAAATAGCACCTAGATAACTTGCAAATGTAAGCCCCAGCCCAAACCTCTGCTCTAGGTTTAGACTTCTGTATCTAACTGAAAAACCTGCCTAAGTATTTCACAGGCATCTCAAACCAAATACGTACAAAATGACTCTCTCAATCGCCATTCACAGCCCGCTTCCTAACCTTCACCAAAACCATTTACCTTTAGCTTTCCCCTCGCTCTGGGTGGCATCACCCAGAAAGCAGAAAGTCACCCTCGATCCTTCCCTCATGTACACCCATATCCAACATCAAGTTCTACAATTCAACATGACTGCATGTGTGGGTCCTTCTCACTCTAAAAGTCCCAATTTAATGCCACCTTCTCAGAAATGCCTTCTCTGTCCACCCTATGATCCAATATACTTCCTGCTTGTTTCCTTCATAGCTCATATCACAATCTGTAATGTAACATTTATCTTCCTGTTTACCTGTTTATTGTCTGTTTCCACTATCATACTAGGTCCTACTGACAAAAACCTTGACTGCCTTATTCACTAACATATTGTACCCAGTGCCAGGTACATAAATGCTTAATAAATATTTGCTAAAGTGATGAATAAAGTTGTAATCCAAAGTTCTCTAAGGTGCAGTGGGGACTTATGGGATAGGGTTTGAGAGTAATAACAGCATTCACTGGATGCTTACGATCTGTAATAAACTGTTCCAACTTCTCTTCTCTCCCTCAGTGATCAAAAATATGCTTCTGTAATAGGCTTCCTGACCTGCATTTTCATGTCAGGATAATGGTCACACAGAAATCCCAGGAATCCATTCAGAACAGAAAGTCCCTGTCTCATTCACAGGAGCATTCACCCCTGGTGGGCAAGTGTGTGGCTTTCTGACCATGGATAAAATGACACGGCTTCTCTAGGGACAGTCTCCTAGTTAGTAAAGCTGGTGTCGCACCTCCCACTCCCAGGTGACAACTAAGCCATGAGTATTGGAAGAGTCAGGCCCTACTTAGGGTTTGGCCTGAGTCGAGAACCACCCAAACAACTCTGCACAGAAAAGAGTACGTACACTGGAAATAGCTCATACCATCTCCCAAATAATTAGTCCTCAGTAGATTTCACATAAGTGAGATTTGAGGAGGTCTTTATGTTAAAAAGGAGGACTCTTCCAATAAGAGGAAATGGAAGGTTATTTTAAATCTGAAAAAAAGGTCTATAACTAATGTTTCAGCTCTTGGTCAAAGACAACTGAAAGTAGATCCCTTAGCATGAGGCAACAGAGCAAACAGGAGGAAGGAAGGAAGGAAGGAAGGAATGTAAATGGTTAAAAGCCTACTGGTGGAAGGCTTAAATATGTGCAAGGTGTAAATAATACAAAGGGCTATAGAGAGCCAGCAGAGTACTCTACTAAGAAAAGCTCACTTGAACATCTACACTGTTGGTCTGCCAATCCTTTGGATATCCTATTTCCTGTGCCTATAATGCTAGTCCCTCCTTCTCTACCTGGTGGACTACTCATCCTGTAAGATCCAGCTCAAATGTCATCTGTTCTATGAAACTCTCTCATATCCTCAGCATTGGTCACTTTCTCATCTATATTAATCACAGCACTTTTATTTTTTAAAAATATTTTATGTATTTATTTGACATAGTGAGCAAGTGAGCAGGGGGAGGAGCAGAGGGACAGGGACAAGCAGACTCCCTGCTGAGCATGGAGCCTGATGTGGGGCTCAATCTCATGACCCCAAGATCATGACCTGAGCTGAAATCAAAAGTCAGATGCTTAACCAACTGAGCCATCAGGCACCCCAATCACAGCACTTTTAAACCACTAATCAAATGTTATGATTCTGTGACCTATATACCGTGGACTCCTCAAAGATATGGACCATATCTTCCCCCCTCTGTGATTCCAGTGCATCACAGAGTGCCCAGAAGATGTGATGCAGAAACTACAAGTCAATGAATTAATCTAAATAAATTACAAGAGTTTAGAGGGAAGGGAAGAAGAAGAGGAAGAAAATTAGACCACCGAATGCTACACTCATTTAACAAAGCATAACATGTAAGTCTAGGCCAGTCCCATCCTCATATACCTGGGGCTCACGCTCAGTTTCAAGACACAAGAAACAGCTATTTTTTTCAAAAAAAAAAAAAAACTTTCCCTTAAATATGAATACATAGCTTTACTCTCATTCTCTGCAAACAACTCAATACACGACCTTTATACAATGTGACATATACAAATAAAGTAACATTAGGGGACTAATTCTTCATAGTTGACTTTCCATAGACCTTCATATTCCACCTTTGTTTATACTGTATGTTTTTAGTACATACATAAAGTATACTAATCTTAAGTGTACTGTTTGATGAATTTTTACATAGGTATGTATACATGCAACCAACATCCTTATCAAGATACAGAATGTTTTTAGCATCTCAGAAGGTTTGTGCATGGTCCCTTCCCAACAGAATAATTATAATATTCTGATTTCTATCACCATCAACCAGGTTTCCGGTTCCTCAGCTTCATATAAATGTATTGAATAGTGTGGACGCTTTGGGCCAGAATTCTTCCATTCAATACATTATCCATGTTGTTGTATGTATCAGGAATTCATTCGTCTTTTTGCTGTGAAGTGTTATGTTACAGGAACACACCACAATTTGTTTATTCATTCCCCTGTTGATAGATATTTAGGCTGTTTCTTTCTCAGATGTTTTGAATGAAGCTACTATGAACATTTTTGTACATGTCTTTTTAGTCCACTTTTTATTTTGAAAAAAGAAGCTTTTTAATGCAAAATGTAGTGCCCAAAGTTCATTTTTTTTAAAAAACGGGAATTGTGACTTTTCATGAATCTTAAGTGTGCTGAATATCATATTTCACAGAATCTAAGATGCCATCAATTATAAGACACATCATTATTTTAGGTAACACTAAGAAAGAAAAAAGCACTGCCAACAAAACCATGACCCAGTGCTAAGACACCACTGATGGTAACACATGTCCCTAATTTCAGAGATGTTAAATGTTAAAAAAAAAAAAAAAAAAAAAGTATGACTTAAAAATATAGTATATCTTATTTCAAGTAATTTGATAAAATTAAAGAAAAGTGTAGTTATTATGTAGTATTTGATACATATAAAATAGCGAATATTAGGTTATGAAGTATGATATAAAGACATGCCTGAACCTACCACCCAAACTTAACACTAGATCATTACTAAATGCTTTGAAGCAATGTTCCACGACTTTATCTCCATGCCTCCTTCATGAAAGGGAACTACTGTCCTGAATTTTGTGTGCATAATTCCTTTGCCCTTTTTTTACCCTTTAGTTTCTAGTGTCTTTGACATACACGACCTCACATGCAAGCGCAGTAGGCAGTGCTAAGTGTATAGAAAGGAGCAGTCCAGCCCAAGGCCCAATCACCCTCTACCTTGGTTTTTTTTTTTTTTTTTTTTTTAAGTTTTTATCACAGTTATGAAAATTTAAAGAGAGCATTGCAGTTTTGCTTGTCCAATCAATTCCAAGGCCTTCTTGCTCCCCTGCCCCACTGCAAAATTAAGAGACCCCATACTCCTATTCTATAGACTACTTTTCAAATTCTCCAAACATACCGTGTACTTTTTGCTCTTAAGATTTCTTCTCTGTCACCCTCAAATGCTATCACCTTCAATCTCTATCTGTCTAAACCCTAACTCTTCCTTTCATGATGGAGCTGAAATGCTCCCTTCCTATAAGATGTTTTATCTGATCTCTTTAGTATTAGCATCTCCCATTCTATGTTCCCTAAGCACTTTAAAGCTCTATTATCTTAAAACACGTCTTTAATTTCTCTGTCTAAACTGTAAATTAGTTGCTGAGGGAAGAGAAAGGGGGAAAGTTAGAAGGTGGGAACTCTACTTGCCTATTACCGTCTGTTTATATCTCCTTCACTACCCTTAATTGGAAAAGTTTGGATAATGTTCCAGCGTGGACTCCAATGTTCTATAGGGACCTGAGGTCAAGTCTTATGGGCACATCTGGGTTGGAACATTAAAGGGTGGACAATGCTCACAGAGGTTTTAGTAAGGATAAGCACAGAAAGACCCAATGAGGAAGGGGACCCACAAGGAAAAAGCTGAGGCTAAGTCCCACACACTGGTCCTTGTCATAGGAGGTTCTTCTTTCACTGTACTGGAGGGTGAGGCTTAATCTTCTCAAGGGAGAGGTCTTTTTTCCGAAAAGTTTGGTGTCTACCTGTGTGCTCAACTTTACTGTAAGAACTTTGAAGAAATCAATCAAGCTGTACCCATCTTTGAACTCTCACACAACTTAAAATATTTGTGTTTATCAAATGCCTGCTAAATTTTTTGGACGTTAAAATTTTAGATGAGCTACAAAGTACAAACTCAAAAGTTCTTCACTAGAAATTCATATAAAAAACTTTAACTTTCTCACATTCTTAAGCACTGAATGCCACTTACCTGAGAGGTATCCACTCATGCTTTTGTCAAGACTATTAAATTTTTGCCGATATTTTAATCTTGAAGGCTGAGGAACTGCCCACTCTGAGCTCCCAGTCTTGGGCGAGTTCCCTGATAGTGAAGCAGTCGAGGAAGTTGAGCTATAACAAAATTTATTTAAAAATTTTATGTTACTAACTAAAATACATTTAGTTAAACCTCAAAAGGCAGAGACATTAAGAATCATACCTTCTATAGTACAATACTAATTGCTTTTGTGTTTGATATTTGAAAAATTTAATTTCACCTCATTCTTAGGAAAGCAGATACCACATGAAGTACAGAACTACTGTATACCAAGAACCTACTATGTGCCAGGCCCTGTATTGTGCCAGAGGCTTTATGAATACTTTTTCTAATCCCCATGACAAACTTAAAAGGTATTACTGTCTCCACCAAACTATGGCTCAATGATGTTATGAAAAACAAGGTCACACATTCAATGAGTATCTCAGCTGGGATGCCAATACTCTTCTTCTGGGTTAAAGCTAACACTCTTGGTACACTGCTTTGAAGAGTGTTATGATTTATATGAGGAGTGATGAATGAACACTGATGCTTTTGTGTTTTCTAAAATGTAAAAGATACTCAATCAGCAGAATTTGCTCAAGAAAAAAATTAATAACATACCATAATTATGAGACTTTTTTTTTTTAAGATTTTATTTATTTATTTGACAGAGAGAGAGAGAGAGAACAAATAGGCAGAGAGGCAGGCAGAGGGAGAGGGAAATGCAGGCTCCCCACTGAGCAGGGAGCCCGATGCGGGGCTCAATCCCAGGACCCCGGGATCATGACCTGAGCCGAAGGCAGCCGCTTAACCGGCTGAGCCACCCAGGCACCCCAATTATGAGACTTTTTGAGAAACATATACAAAAAGTACATTATTTTGGGCAAAAACTCGACTAATTAGAAATACAGAAGAACATTTTTAGTTTATGTGAAACGTTTTTTCAAGCATTTACTAATTCTAAAAACAAAAAATTATTTTATGTGAGTTATAAGAGTAAATTTACCTTAAGCATTTTACATTTGGCCACTGTAAAGTAAAACCTGGATAAGCTCAGAGCTTGCAAAAAAAAAGTCATTTGTAGATACTCCTTATTGAAAGCATAAAAAGTTGGAGGTTTTAAGCCTTCATACCTACTAGATCCTAAATCAATCAGAGACTGGGCTTTCTGTAAACCAGCACCGCTGCCGAGTCCTCCCATCATGAGACTGTAAGATGATGTATGAGGCAATGCTAAAAAAGAGAAAAGGAAAGAAAGAAACGAAGAAAAAGGTTCACGCTAAACAATATCACAAAGTATGAAGGAAATCTGTATTTATTGGGACACAAATGTACCAGTTTCTTTCTTTGACAGTTTCTTACTCATTAGCTCGGAAGTACTTACTTGAAGAAGAATAAGGAATGGATAAAGGCTGAATGAGGCCAGCGGTTCCATTTGGTAGTGATGATGTGCTAACGGAAGGCACTAGGGGAGCAGGCATCATTAAGGGAGGAAGGGTGGTCCCTGAAGTCGCAGAGGATAGGGGGGTTGCCACAGGTGCAACTGGAGGCAATGAGTGAGGCATGGACAGATTGGGCATGCTTCCCATTCCTAGAGACAAAACAGAACACATTTGCCAGTGCTAGCAATGGACTATAAAACACATGCCAGAAATCAAATTGACAGTGCATTGAGCAGATCCATGTTTATACACACACTATGGGCAAACAAGTCCTCTAGTTAAAAAGTTCACTAAAGCAGCTTTGACTTAGCAGTGAGGGACGTACACCACTGCTTTTAATATCAACATTCTGACCTGTGTGAACTATGGGAATGCCTTCTAAGGAGTTAAAGATTCTCTTCTAGCATCATGACGAAAGCTGAGCATCCTTTTCCAATTAAATATTAGTACTCTTAAAGAGAGACTGTATTACCTGATTAAATGTGGGGTTTTGTGTAAGGATAAGTATAGTGCTGTTGAGTTACTCAACACACACACGCACACACACACACACACACACTCCCCCAATGTTCCCACCCCCCAAAAAAGGATATTCTAGTTACTAGATATGTTAGAAGACCCATTTATGCATATCATTATTTGTAAGAAGGAAGTAAGCCACATATTTTACTTTTCTTCTAAGTAACACATCCATGGATTTAAGAACAATTCTTTAAAAAGAATAAAATGATGACTTTTATTCACTTACTAATTGCAGATTACTAGGTACACTATATAAGATGGTCACACAATCTGGTATTTATCTCTAGAGCTCACTGCAATAGTCAAAGAATTTAGTATTTTAAGATCTAACATCTGGAATGAAAGAACATGTTTCAGATTCACAGAGATATCTAACTGAATGTTCCATTCCAATGAGTGCTTCTTATATATACTTAATAAGAAATTGGCTAATCAAATTGAACAGAAAACAGATTCTCTCTGATGAATATGTAAATTAACGAGCACAAAGTCTGCAACTTTTAGCCCTAAATTTAGCTGGGTAATTAACCTTTAAATTAGAAAAATTTCTACTTAGGAATAATTTTAAGTTACCTCCCAACTTAAACCATTTCAAGTGAGTTTAAAATTGTTCACATTTTTTCTGTTACTCATACAGAGTAGAGAGGAAACTAAGAATAGTACTTAAGATCAGCTCTAACTAGGGGGGGTCATATAATTTATCATCCAACTGGGAATTGTGAAAGGGAACACTAACCAGACTTGAGGCCAGGACAACAGGCATAAATCAGAACTGTTCCTGGAAAACTGGGACACAAGGACACCCCTGCTATGATAGCGAGTTTAACATCTTATCTCAGACATGAAAATTAACTTGGAGTCTGAGGATTATTGTTTTATGCTAACAAACCCTTTTCTAAATCCCAATATTACGTATAGGAATGAAGTTTAACTATCAAATGCAGCCAATTCAATTAATAATTGAATAAATTATTCATTTATTGAATAATAAATTAATAAATACATACCAAAACGAGCAGAAATTAATGGAGAGAACATAGGAGGTTGTTTCATAATAGGAGGGAGGACCACAGGCAACTGTTGGCCCTGCAGCTTTAGTTTGATGAGTTTCATTGCTATGGAGAACTCTTGCTGATCCATCTTCCCATCCTTGTTCAGGTCTGATAAAGCCCTAAAAGGATCATGAGGTGTGTAGATTGGTATGTAGGGTTAGCATTATTTTTAAGGATGATAAAATAGAAACAACATAGCATTCACACACAGATCATCACATAATAACCACACATATAAAATTAAGCAAATAAAATCCAAAAAGCTAAAACCTGTAAATTAAGAAATACTGACCAAAGATAGCATCTAATGAAATACTGCCAGTCTACACAGAATCCATGTAGAGAGAATCTATGAGACCTCTGGGATGAATTCCACCAGTGTGGACAGAAAGAAATTATTCAAGAGTATAATCATTCTAAATTTAATCTATTAATTTGCCCAAATATTTGTTCAAAGCTTGCTATGTGTCCAGTACTCCACCAGGCATGGGAATATTCCAAGTGGAAAGAAAGATGGGGTAAGGGTTGATATTTATTGTAAATGCATTAAAAAAACAAAACCCTAGGGGTGCTTGCGTGGCTCAGTCAGTTGGACATCTGCCTTCGGCTCAGGTCCCTGCTCAGTGGGGAGCCTGCTTCTCCCTCTTCCACTCCCCCTGTTTGTGCTCCCCCTCCACTTTCTCTGTCAAATAAATAAAATCTTTTAAAAAATTAAAAAAAAAACTCTAGATAATATAAAGAACAATTTTGTTTAAGGTAGGAGCAGGAAAAGGGAGGGCTAATTTTGGGTTTATAGATGATGAGAGAAAAGAAAGGAAATAACTAAAAAGTAACAGAAAGAAGATTTTGAGAGTCTGCCAAATTATAAAGAAATGTTTTTCAATGGCAATGTATACATCTTTCCCTGAAAATTCTAAGGACATTAAAAATTTGTCCAATAGAGGGGTGCCTGGGTGGCTCAGTGGGTTAAGCATCTGTCTTCAGCTCAGGTCATGATCCCAGGATTCTGGGATCAAGCCCCACTTTGGGCTCCATGCTCAGTGGGGAGTCTGCTTTTCCCTCTGCTCCTCCCCTCCTAACTTGGGCTCGTTCTCTCTCAAACAAAATCTGTAAAAAACAATTTGTCCTGGGGCGCCTGGGTGTCTCAGTTGGTTAAGCGACTGCCTTCGGCTCAGGTCATGATCCTGGAGTCCCAGGTTCGAGTCCCGCATCGGGCTCCCGGCTCGGCAGGGAGTCTGCTTCTCCCTCTGACCCTCCTCCCTCTCATGCTCTCTGTCTCTCATTCTCTCTCTCTCTCAAATATATAAATAAAATCTTTAAAAAAAAAAAAACCAATTTGTCCAACAGAACAAAACCCCAATTATTTTCAGTCATTTACTCAATAAAATATATTTTCCTAAAAGATGAAGAAATACTTAACAACAGCAGACAATGAGTAAAAACATCTTTATATTAACACTACATCAAAAACAAAATAAAACCAGACTATCAGAAATTTAAATTCATCTACAAGAGAGAACACTTTACCATATTTCAGCTAAAACAGGAGCCGGCAGGCCTGACTGTAAGAAAAAGGTACGTGCTTGATCACCTGAAGGTAATAAAAGCAAAAATCAAATAGCACATTAGTAAATGGAATTCCTCCAATGCCTCTGAATAATAATAACGGACAATAATAATGCTATTGCTTTATTGTCATTTTAATTGCAGTCACTAAAGAATTAAACAGAAATACACTTATAAAATTATTTACATTACATTAATAAGATTTAGGTTTTAAAACAAAAAAGCCACAAATGAAGTTATATGTATTACTCAATGATGAAAGATTACATTATTCATCTTAGTTTTTTCATAGTAACTGGGGTATTACTTGATAATATTTCCATTTAATAAAATTCATAATTTAAAACACTATTCCCCAGAAGAGTTCTAAATAAAAAAATACCAGGTGTTGGGAAAGACAGTCACCCAGTGGGTCTCTCACAATCCTCTATGTCCTGCTGTGTGTGACAAGAATGCAAGACCCTAACTGCTCTCCACCTGGGTCGCTTCTCAGGTTGGGTTTGCAGTGAGCAATCTTGAGGCATGATGAGGTAATACTCCCCCTGGGCTAAAAAAACAAGCCTGCTTGCTAAAAATGGTGGGTTCCCTCAGGCTCAGCGTTCCTGTCCTATAACACAACTGCTGCATTTTTAACATTCTTTTGGGCTCTCTGCATCACCTTGTGGGACTTAGGGGACAGAGAAGCTTATAGGAACATGCTGATGCTCACGCTGCTAGCTGTGCCGTTTGTAACAAAGTCCTTTGTCTCTGACTCAGGAACCCTGGGTCTTGTGTCATATCCATGAGACAGTCACAGACTACATTATTAACTTGTAAGTAGGGTAATCAAATCGCAGTCCTGATACCAGGAAAGGTAGCTATTATTATAGAAGTATAAATAACATTAAGCTATAATGGCTAAGAGGATGGATTCCAAAATCAGACTGAAAGGTTTCACAGCACAGATCAATACTAACAATCTGTAAATACAGACAATAGTAGCTACTTTACAAGGTTGTTGCAAGATTAAATGAGATGATGCACTTAGGTATAGCATCTGAAATACAGCACAGATTTGGTAAATATTAGTCATTATAGTTACTATTACTGTAAATAAAGCACTCAGGTGCTTTGGCATAGAAAAAAAGTTTAATCTATATAAAAAAATTTGAAAGACACACCTAATTAATCCTCCTTAGGCTCTGGAGGTCATCTTGCAAAACAAGGGCTAGTGCCAACAATCAACGCTTGGTATCAACTCTCAAAAACAGAGAACTAGCATTATAAAAACAGACTGTAGAAAAAAACTTCTAGATTATTTTCAAGGAGATGGGCCTGATATATGTACTTCTTCTAGATTTAGTAATACTGATTGTTATACAGGGAACCGGCACAATGAATTAAGAGCACATTAATAAATTTGGTTGGAAGAAAGTCTCAATTACCTTAAGAAATAAACTGAAAACATTCTAGAAATAATGTTAAAGTGGGAAACTGGACAATTAAACTGACATTATTGGTTATCATTTAGGATTAAGAAAAAGATCTTCTATAAGCCAAATCCAAAACAACAAATTAAGACGCAGGTAAAATAAGAAAGCCACTGTTTTTTTTAATGCATGAATTCTGATTGATAGGAATTTTATCACTTAGTAATACAAAATTGATGGTAATCAAATTAAAACTAATTCTAAGACATTACATGAAAAGGAACATAACTCACAAATAAATATATAAATACAAACCTGTTATGTAACCTCCTGAGGGTTTGAGGTTATCAAACTGCTTGTCATGCTTAGTCCGTTCTTCCGAGGTAATAGCCCACATGTTTGGCCCTCCTAAACCATAAGTGAAAGGCAAAGATATTATAGTATATATACAAGAAATGCTCCAAATAATTCTAAAATGTAAATATGAATCACAGGTGTCCATTTAGTGATAGTACTCTATCCCTGTGTGACACAAACAGTAAAGCTCTATCACGACCATATATATATTATATGTACATAAAATATACATATATAGCACAGCCCTGAGGTTCTTCACTCATTCACCCCATTAAAATCTATAGAACAATTACTGTATACCACTCACTCGAAATACGCAATAAGCTAAATTCTGGAAATAAAAAGATGAATAAAATACTATTCCCATCCTCTCTACACATTCAACATAGCTAATAACCATCTATATACTTCACTTCTGACTACCTTTTCAGTTTACTCAACTTCCACCCATAAGAAACCAAGTATGTTTAGGTATATAAATTCATACATGTTTGCTGTTTATGGTATAAAATCTGTCTTACAGAGTTGTTTCCAGGAATGCCTATCATTGAAAAGTAGGTACCCATATACTTTGAAACACTAAGATGGACCTGATTTAACAAATATTTCTTATCCTTAAATGAATGGATAAAAAAAATCTATAAACATCCTCTTTTAAAGATAAGTTGTTGTTTTTTTTTTTAAAGATAAGTTTTAAGATTAAAGTTAAAAATACAGAAACAGATGTACTGAAGAACTAAGTTCCTAAAACAGCTAAACCTACACACTTTCTAAATAAATACCACACACATAGTAAACACCTACTTGGTTTATCAGTTTATTATAAAGTAAACAAATTAACCTGTCACTACTCTTGTGACTAGGAGTGTGGATGGACTGCTTTACTACCGTAGGAATCTGGAAAACTGACGACAACAGAAAAACAACGACAACAACAAAGGATGACAAAGAAGGAAGCAGCTCACTTTCACGGAGCCCCAACTCTATGTCAGGGACTTTTTATGCAGTAACCCACTACTCCCACCGCTGCCCTATACATTAGGTACTACTCTTATCCCCATGACACAGGTGAGGGAAACCAAAACCCTTAGTGGTAAAGTTACTTGCTCAAGGTCACACAACTAATAAGTGGCAGAGCTGAGATCAGAACCCAGGTAGCCTGAACTCTGTGCTACACTGTCTCTCAATACTTATGGATAAGATGCCCATGTTCTCTGTACCTTAGCTGCCACCTCTAAAAGTTAGGAAGATTATCTAAGTTTACATGGTTGTTGTAAAGACTATGTAAAAAGTAATATATCTACTCTAAAAATAACACTAAATATAATTCTTCATCTATTAGATTGGTAAAATAACAACACCAGCATTTAATGAAACTTGCCACGTGTTAGGTATTTCTCTAAGAGCTTTATGTGTACTGTTTCTAAAAGTCTCACAAGAATTCCATGAGGTCACTATTCCTATTATCACTGTTTTACAGAGGAGGAAACAGAGGCATGGAGAGATTAAATAATTTGCCCAACATATCAAAGTTGGTAAGTGTTGAAGACAGGATCAGAATCCACAGACGTAATTAAGAATCTTAAACTATCTGCCCTGACAATAATTAAAAAGAAATAAACCCACAAATAAGTTGTCACTTGATTTCAACAAAGACATTAAGTAATTCAATGGGGAAAGAATAACCCTTCATTGAACCAGGCTGAAAAAACAGGACACCCACATGAACAACAATAACACAAACCAAACCATCTCAATCCTGCACCATATACAAAAAATTAATTCTAAATGGATCACAAAATTAAACACAGGAGCCAAACTATCAAACTTCTTGTGAAGAAAGCAAACAAGAAAATCTTTGTGGCTTTGGATTAGGAAATAATATTAGGACACAAACAACACAAATGATTAAAACTTTTTGATAAGTTGGACTTTCTCCTTTCTTAAAGACAGTTAAGAAAGTAAAAAGACAATGGGGCACCTGGGTGGCTCAGTCGGTTAAGCATCGGACTTGTGATTTCAACTCAGACCATGATCTCACGGGTCATGAAATTGAGCCCCATGTCCAGCAGCAGGGAGCCTGCTTGAGATTCTCTCCCTCTGTCCCTCCCCCCACTCATGCTTGGGCGCGCATGAGCTTGCTCTCTCTCTAAAATAAATAAATCTAAAAAAGAAAAGAAAAGAAAAGAAAAAGACAAGCTACAGACTGGGAGAAAATATTTGCAAAATATAATAAAGGACATGCATCCAGCATATATAAAGAACTATTCAACTCATTAATACAATCCCTGCTCCCCCCCCTTCAAAAAATGGGCAAAAGTTTTGAACAGACATATTAAAGATATACAGATGGCAAATAAGCATGTGACAAGATGTTCAATGTCACTGATCATCAGGGAAATGCGTATTATTATTTTTAAAGGTTCTATTTATTTATTTTTGAGAGAGAGAGAGGGAGAAAGAGAGAAAGCACAAGCAGGGGGAGGGGCAGAGGGAGAAGCAGGCTCCCTGACTCGGGGGGCTTGATCCCAGAACCCTGGGATCACAACCTGAGCCAAAGGCAGACACTTAACCTACTGAGCCACCCAGGTGCCCTGGGAAATGCATATTGAAACTACAGTAACATATCACTCCATGCCCATAGAATGTTTGAAGTTTTTTAAAAAACTGCTGGCAAGGATGCCGAGCAACTCAAATTCTCACATAATGCCGGTGGGGAAGGAAACTGAGACAATTTAGAAAAAAGAGTCTGGCAACTTCTTATGAAGTTAAGTATGCATTTCCCATGCAACCCAGCAATAAACTCCTGGGTAGGGGGCACCTGGGTGGCTCAGTCGATTATGTGTCTGCCTTCAGCTCAGGTCATGATCCCAGGGCCCTGGATCAAGCTCTGCGTGGGTTCCCTGCTCAGTGGGGAGCCTGAGTCTCCCTCTCCTGCTCCCCCTGCTTGTGCTCTGTCAAATAAATAAATAAAATCTTAAAAAAAAAACCAAAAACAAACCAACACCAAACCCAAAAAAACTCCTGGGTATTTACCCATGAGAAATGAAGACTTTGTCCAGATAACAATCTGTCCTCTGATGATTACAGCAGCTTTAGACATTTGGTTTAGACACCAAAGCCTGGAAATAACCTAGATGTTTTTTATAGATGAATGGATAAACAACTTGTGGTACACATTTATACAATGGAATTCTAGTCAGCAAAGAAAAAGAAAGATATATACAATGACATGGATGACCTGCAAAAGTTTTTTGTTAAGTGAAAGGAGCCAGACACAAATAGCTATGTATTGTGTATTTCACTTATATGACATTCAGGAAAAAGCAAAACTGTAGGCACAGAAATCTGATCAGTGGTTGCCAGTGGCTAAGGGCGGGGTATAAAGGAATAAGGGAATCTTCTGGGTGATGGAAATATTCCATATCCTGATTTTTATGACTGTATACATTTGTTAAAACCCATCGAACTATATACTTAAGAAGGGTAAATTATACCTCAATAAACCCAACTTAAAAATAAAACAAAATAGGGGCGCCTGGGTGGCTCAGTTGGTTAAGCGACTGCCTTCGGCTCAGGTCGTGATCCTGGAGTCCTGGGATCGAGTTCCGCATCAGGCTCCCTGCTCGGCAGGGAGTCTGCTTCTCCCTCTGACCCTCCCCCCTCTCATGCTCTATCTCATTCTCTCTCTCAAATAAAATAAATAAAAATCTTTAAAAAAAAATAAATAAATAAAATAAAAATATAGCATCTAATACATGCCAGCCACATGGAGGCTGTTCAATAAATTAGTTTCCTTACTCAATCCCATCCCAGGGAAGAATATAACTGAGGAGAAGTCAGAGCATTAAAATTTTTCTCAGGCTCTTCCCCTTCTGGTAAAGGTACCCTTGCCAGAAAATACTGAGAGCGAGGCGTTTTAGTCAGAAACCGTAAGACTATTTTAAGTCTGGAGAGTCTGGTTAGGAAGGGTGAGGGGCTCTAACACACACCCAGGGAGTGTACATCCCCAGGGAGTGGCAAACTGCTTCCTATGACTGCAGAGGGCTCTGTGGCATCAGAAGGACAGTGCTTTCTTATGTCCTACTGTTACCTCACTTTTCCTTGGCTATCTGTCTTCATAGTGGTCAACTCAACTATCTGATAAGGTTTCTTGTTTAGTTCCAGCAACCTTGACACCTTCATATACATTCAGTTAAACATTTTGGGGCACCGTTGTGTACAGAGACTAGGGGTACAAGGATGAATAAAATGAATGCTTTAAAGGAACTCATACACTCCCTTAGCCAAGAGATCAGACACATCATGATTAAATATTATCATGATTAAATATTATCATGATTAATGGACTTACAGAATAAAAATGTCTAAAGCATTATGACAAGGAATAATTTTTAAGTAGTATTTGAATAATCTTTAAATCTGGACACTTCAAAAAAAATGACCACGTTAAAACATAAGGTGTTAATGCACTAAGAATTTTACACAAAGAAAAAGTTACACAGAAATAAGAAAACTAGGAAATATATGTACTTCAAAAACAATTTTAAAATAGTTGATCTGGGGCACCTGGATGTCTCAGTTGGTTAGGTGTCTGAATTGATTTTGGCTCAGGTCATGATCTCAGGGTTGTGAGATCAAGCCCTGCATCGGGCTGGGTGTGGAGTCTGCTTGAGATTCTCTCTCCCTCTCCCTCTACCCCTCCCCCTGCCCCCCCCCAAATAAATAAATAAATAAATAAAATCTTAAAAAAAAAATAGTTGATCCAATTCTGGCTTTCTTAGAATATATACTAATAGAACCTTTCCAAGAGTCAACAGTTTATTATTTGTAACTTCTAGTAAAACATTTCCCAATGTTTGTCTGTATTTATTTGTAAGCCTTACAGAAAGTCAGGAAAATCTAAGTTTTGGGGTTGATGTTTAATTTGTCCTCGAAAAGCTAACAACCTTTTACATTGTCTGATCACTTTAGAAATGTATTAAAATTCTATCAACTTCCCCCACTCATCACTAAATTGAGAATGTGGTATTTTCATAAAGATTTCTGTTGCTTATTCTCATCTTCTCATGTACTGGCTCTGTCACAAATGTTCTTATGGTCTATGTAGAAGGAAAAATAGACATTTACAGAACATGCACGATATGCTAAATCCCCCCCCCCAGGGATAAATAGTGTCATCCCTGTTTTACATATATAGACATACATACCTACACAGAGGTATACGCACAGGTGTGCACACACAAGTACCACAAGGTTCAGCCAACACAACTGGGTGGTAGCACAGCGGTATTCTAACACACAGTTCTGAAGGTACACGATTCAAACATGTTCAATCCTGCTTGTGTGCCGTGAAATTACTATTTCTGGGTCTAGTTCAAAATAATAGTCAAATGATATATTTCAACCCAGTACAAACCTAAATCTCTAAAATACAACTAGAATATTGGCCTAGATAGAACTAAAGCCTTAACTGGGACATGAATAATAAATGCTTGGGCTGGTTATAAATGCAGTATAGTACCACCTCTGATTCTGCAGATCCAATGTTCAACAATTTCCTAATCACACAGATGAAAAGACTAATGAGCTCTAAAATTCTGAAAAGGTAATAAAACTCGAAAATGGCATTTTTTCCTCCTAAAGCCATTAGCCATTCTCTCCCTCCCCTTCCTCCTTCCCTCTTCCATATTTTGGATATAGCCACTGTCATGGGCTTCAGAACTTCTTACTCATTTAACCAGTCTTCAGTAACCCCCAGTTTTATGGCTGGAACAAGCTACAGTACATTACAAACAGGCAGCAACATGAATTTGAAGTAGCCTCTTGCTTATCACCTGATGACTCAAATATCAGGCTCTCTGTGTTTACAATTTCATTACATTTTTGAAAAGCAGAAAGCAAACCTACCATGATCAAAGAAGACTCTGGCAAGGATGATTCTGCTGGTGCAGAAGACACCAGAATTAGAGCCACGAGTGGTAAAAATATGACGCACTGATCTTTTTTGCTCTGTTGAGGAGATGGGAAGTGAAGCATCAAAGAGACTAAGAAAAGAATATCTGCTCAATAGAACTTTCTGAGATGATGTAAATGTTCTGTACCTGCATTGTCCAATACAATGGCCACTGGCCACATGTGGCTTTGAGAGCTTGAAATGTGGCTATATAACTGAGGGAATTTATTTATTTATTATTAAAGTTAAATTGAAATCGTCACATGTAGCTAATGGCTACTATATAAGGCAGCACAGCTCTGCGCGAACCAAAGAAGTCTAAATCTGTGGTTAGTCTTGGGATGATGAAATAGACATGGCAAAAGGTGAGAAATACATTCGAAGCATTTAGACACACAGCTTGGTCTAGGGCACTTAAAGACAAGTTCCAACAGTACTGAGCATCGAAAAGATTTAACACCATCTATAACTGAGCATTTCCTAGAAGAGCAAACACTGCTTTTGAAGGTTTTGTGTTATATGGGAATGCCTCTTCCAGTAAGATCTTAAACTCTGAATTGGACTTGCATTAGATATACACAAGATTATCTTCAATCTTCAGCTGTATTATAAACTTAAGTAGGAGGGTACCACAGCCTACATTTGCTATCAATTCTTCAGAATTTTTTTAAAAAATTACTACCTCTATTCCTTTTTTTACTACCTTAATTTCTATATATCACTCCTAAAGGAATTATCCAACATTTTGTCCAATATTATTCTTCCATATATAATGCAATGAGCTACAAAGTAGTTACACAAATGTTAAGGGAGTGGAAGAAACAGAATGAAGAAAGACTAGGCCTATACTGCTTTATGTTCATTTTGTTTGTAAACCAAACATTTTGGTTGAAGTTTGAAACTAAACTATGCGTTTAACGCAAACTCCTTTGTATGGTGTGCAGAAATCCTAAATTTGGGTAGAACACATTACTACTACAATTACTATCCTGATCCTAAACTTACGTTTATCACTCATTATGAAGAAAAAACCCATTATTTAATTTTTAAAAGCTGCCTGTGGCATCAAATAATCTCCATAATCCCACACCACTTCCAGCAATGCTCACACTGATCTTTAAATAAGAGTTCTGAAAAGGCAAAAAGCAAAACAAAACTCTTATCTCAAGTCCATCCTTACATGACATAGAATTCTACCACACAGAATTTGGTTTTACCTTTTACACAAATCATTTTTCTTAAACTTTCCTAAATCTCACAAGGTCAATCCTGAGTCTTAAAATTTTGGATATACAACATGTACTTTTGTATTAACCATGTACTTAACTTGGCCCTATGACTGAAAACATGTTTTTTAAAAAGATGTAATTGATCAAATACAAGATGGTAACATTAAAACAGAATTGCTGTTTGAAAGTGGTAGAATTATTCACGATGCTTCCTTTTTCCCCCCTAATGTTCTTTAATATTACTGCTTTCAATTTAAATGTTAAAGAGTTATTGACTAGACTCTCTATTCCTTTATATTTACAATTGGTTAATGAAATTTACTACAAATTTAAGGTCACATCTTAGATTTCTGTAGCAATTTAAAAATATAATGCATTTTCTCAATTAATTCTAAATGACATACACAGTACCTTAATACTTATTAAGGGTGGTTAATTTGTACTTGGGAAAAGAATTAAAGCTAGAACCAGAAAAAACACTTTAAAACCTTTCTGTCACTGAAGTTACCTAAACATTTTCTTTAAAAATGTTTCATATTAAACAATTGTGCATATAGGCATACACAACCCTTTATAAAAGGAATAATTTTATATGTATATTACTAGATGAATCTTTATTGGTTTAATCAGTTTACAATCATCCTAAACTATTGAAAATACCTTTAATATTCTTCGCTTACAGCACTCTGCTTTTTGTCCTCCCATTTTATGCATCAAACACAATATACCTTTAGGTTATTCTTAACTGCTGAAAGGCAAGCACACATTCCAGATGATACTGCAGAACATGCTTATACTGAGTCACAGGATTTGCTGCATAATATTCTAATAGAAGATATATGCAGTGGTTCTGAAGTAAACTATCAAAACATTTTCAATAAGAATACTTTAAGTTTTGCATTTATAAGCTCAAGGAAAAATACCAAAATGAATATTTTACAACCTCTACCAAAAAACACCCCATAACCTCTTTATCTTGCCACAAGCACAAAGCAGCTTACCATTCATAGCTGTGGGAAACTGAGCCATCATGGTCCTGAATTTTCCTTGCTAGCTCTCAGCCATCTGCAACATAAAAACATTGTGCCATTAATAATACAACAAGGGCAGATCACAGTTAGTGCACCAGCTTAGCAGTGGGAATGTCTGTACCCTTGAGCTCACACTTCCAACAGAAAACAATGCAGAGCTTCTGCTGCTGCTGAAGAGGCAGGATTTACATTTAGGGAAGGGTAGGAGACTTTGTTGGGTAATGGTGCTGCCTTTAAGACAGAAACATTTATAAGAAAAACAGTCCCATATTTCATAGCAAATACTGAATAATGAAACCCTTGGCATGAATCAATTTTGTAGAAATTAACTTGGGAGAGAGGAAGGTTGTTATAACTAGGCAAGATGTTATTTCAGAGAAATCAACTGTATAAATTAAGTGTATAATAACATGGAAATCCATAACATTTTCTTTAAAAAAATCCGCAAATGAGAAAAATGTCCAACATAAATGTGGCACAGAGTCCTACAGGTTTATAAAAATTGTTCAGAATTGTTATAATATATATGTTTGTTTAAACATAACTAAATGTGCTGGGAATATACCCAGTACTAGGAAGAGAAGCGACTTTGGAAATTAACAGCTGTGATTTAAGTCCCAATTCTGCTATTTTCCTAGCTGTGACAATGGGAGAGTTATTTAACTCTTTTTTAAAGATTTTTATTATTATTTATTTATTTGAGACAGAGAGAATGAGAGAGAGAGAGCACATGAGAGGGGGGAGGGTCAGAGGCAGAAGCAGGCTCCCTGCCGAGCAGGGAGCCCGATGCGGGACTCGATCCCGGGACTCCAGGATCATGACCTGAGCCGAAGGCAGTCGCTTAACCAACTGAGTCACCCAGGCGCCCCTTAACTCTTTTTGAGTCTCAGATTCCTCATCTGTAAAAATACTTCGCAGGAGTATTTTTTTTTAAAGTATTAGACATATTCCAGTACACTGCTTGACACATTGTGAGTGTTTGATAAGTGGCTGCTATTTTGCAAACATCCAGGGAGGGAGAGTGCAATGTAATTTTGAACCCTGAATTCATTATTTTACTATGAATAGATTCAAAATTCATTCCACAAATCTTGAGGGTAAGACCAGTTAGGGAAAGTGAAGACCTAGGAAATTTATAATAATGTACTTAGTATTTAAAACCATAGATTATAACACTGCAGGGGAAAATCACTATATTAAAAAGATGATTCAGTAGCTCATCTATTTACCCCAATCACTTAAATATTAACATTTTTAGAAGCCAAAGGAAATATGTTTGCACAAGCCATGTGAACAAAGAAGGCATAAAGAGTTACACATCACAGTGGAAGGTGTCCCCAGAGGAGCTAGCTAACCAGCTGCCAAGAAGTGCTACCAGGCACCGGATCTTAGTGAATTCAGTGTGCTCTAAGAGAAATATGACTATATCAGTATAACCACCAAAAGTTAGTCACACCAACAAAAGACTGGTATATACATCCAATTTACTGATTTACAAAGAGAAATTTAATAGCCAAGAAAACTAACAGTACCTTTTCTTCCTATAAAGCAAACTATAACATCTACTAAATTTCAACCAGATCACTGTATAGTGAGGGACGGGAGTTACCAGTGATTAGAATGCTTAATGACATCAGGCACTGACAGTCAGATACATTTATCTACACAACAAGAATAAGTCAAGGACTGCACAATAGGGATGGTTAAACCTCCAATAATGCTTTGAATGACACTGCCAATTTTACTCTTCTGACTCCCAGCTTTTCTGTATGCTACCACTATATACCATCCTCCCTCTTAAAGCATATGGCCTTCCTTTAGATGTTAATAAGCTTTAGTGTAGCTTCTGCACAGCAAAGAAAACCATCAACAAAACTAAAAAACAACCTATTGAATGGGAGAAGATATTTGTGAATGACATATCAGATAAAGGGTTAATATCCAAAATATATAAAGAACATATAAAACTCAATGCCCCAAAAACAAACAATCCATTTCTCCAAGGGGGGAAAAAAAAAAAAAAAGGAAGACAAAGAGATTGTCAACAGACACATGAAAACATGCTCAACATCATTAATCATCAGGGAAATGCAAATCAAAATCACAATGAGATATCACCTCATGCCTGTCAGAACAGCTAAAATCAAAAACACAAGAAACAACAAGCATTGTTGAGGATGTGGAGAAAAAGGAACCCTTGTGCACTACTAGTAGGAATGCGAACTGGTGTAGACACTGTGGAAAACAGTATGGAGGTTCCTCAAAAAACCAGAAGTAGAATTATCATAGGATCCAGTAATTCCACTACTGCATATTTACCCAAAGAATATGAAAACACTAATTTGAAAAGACAGATGCACCCCTATAGATGCAGCATTATTTACAATAGCCAAATTATGGAAGCAGCCCAACTGTCCACTGATAGATAATGGATAAAGAAAATGTGGGGGGCGCCTGGGTGGCTCAGTTGGTTAAGCGACTGCCTTCGGCTCAGGTCATGATCCTGGAGTCCGAGGGTCGAGTCCCGCATCGGGCTCCCTGCTCGGTGGGGAGTCTGCTTCTCCCTGTGACCCTCCTCCCTCTCATGCTCTCTGTCTCTCATTCTCTCTCTCTCCAATAAATAAAATCTTAAAAAAAAAAAGATTAAAAAAAGAAAATATGGTATACATATAGAATGGAATATTACTCAGCCATAAAAAAGATTGAAATCTGGGGCACCTGGGTGGCTCAGTCGGTTAAGCCTCTGCCTTCGGCTCAGGTCATGATCTCAGGGTTCTGGGATCAAGCCCCGCATTTGGCTCTCTGCTCAGCAGCAGGTCTGCTTCTCCCTCTCCTTCTTCCTCTGTAATCTCTCTCGTACTCTCCCTCTCAAATAAATAATAAAAAAAGAATGAAATCTTGCCATTTGCAACAACATGGATGGATCTAGAGGGTATAATGCTAAGTGAAATAAGTCAGAGAAAGACAAATAACATAAAAAAAAGACAAACCAAAAAAACAGACTCTTAACTATAGAGAACAAACTGATGGCTACCAGAGGGAGGTGGTGGGGGAATGGGTGAACCAGGTGAAGGGGATTAAGAATATACTTATGGTGAATCACTATATTGTACACCTGAAACTAATATAACACTGTGTTAACTATACTGGAATTTAAAAAAAAAAGCTTTATTGCAATGGAGCTTTAATTGTTACCACACTTAGACTTTACCCGTCACTATACTCTTCCTAGGTAGGAGGAAATTCCACCTATGTACAAGTTAGTTTTTTCTTCACTCCTTTCTCAAAAGGTAATATAAACTTCAGGTATTAGAGTTGTCTACTACACAGAAAAATAATATCTAAACATGGTGGGGTAGTCAAGAACTCACTTAACATGGGATTAAGAACACTGGATTTGAACCTGTAGCTCACAAGGAGTTTTAAAAGGTTTTAAGGAGAGGGATATAGATTTCACTTAAGACAATGGTGAAGAAAAGACCAGAGCTGTACCAGGGAGATCAGTTAGGGAAGATATGAGATCAATAACTGGCACCTGATCTAAAATAGTGGCAGATGGAACAGAGCAGATGGGATGAACTGGAAAAATAAGGAAGGGTTTAAAACAGGTAGAACCCAGAAACTCTTTAGATATGAAGGATTATGAAGTAAAACGAATCAAAGCGATGACTCCCAGAATTTGTTTGTGAGACTGGGTGAACTGTGGTGTCACCAGTTTTAAGAAAAAGTGAACACAGAGGAAGTCTCATAAAGTTATGACTGATACTTCCTCAATACAGAAATTCTACAAAAAAAGTATAACACTTTTACTTCCCCAATTTTAAATTGTCATCAGTAATGTTAAACCAAAATAAGTCAACATGCCTGCAAAGAAACTCTACTTACAGATACCCAGTAGCAAGTAGCAAGTAGCAAGACCTATTTTATTAAGTCTCTGAGACTAAGATAGTTTCAAAATGTAGGAGAAAAATCCTCCAAAAGTATTACATGCAACACACTGTATAACTGCATAAAAGCATATGAATTACCAAAGACAGGTTGAGGAGAAAGCATGCACTTACTAAAGACAAAGTACAGGATCCCACAGTCACAAAGCCTTAATCAGTTAGATGTAGGTCTAAAATTTAAAGATCATCTATCTAGGACTTCTGGCTGGTCATTACATATTCTATGAATACAACAGAAGGCCACATAATAGATACTCAGTAATCATAGGTATAATTCTGAAATAAAACCAAAGAATGAATCAAATAATATAATGGGAAGGGAGGGCAAACCCCCGCAGTGAAGCTGAAGGTACTAATATTACAGAACTTTCTTTACCTGGTACAAGGGATTTAGCCCGCCATGCATGCAGGTACCATATTATTACATGAATGCATACATGTAACATCTGATTACGGTAACATCTGACTATGGTAGTGCAATTTGTTAGAACCAATAAGCTTTTAAAGCATACTATTTCATATCTGTTATGTTTATATCAATTCTCTCTGCCATGTTGTCAAACAATTCTACTAATCTACTTGCAGAACAGTACTTGTACAAAGAAATAATTGAAATTTTGAAAAATTAGACACATTTTTACACTTAAAAAATCAATTGTTTTACTTTATGTAATCATACTAGCTACCATTTAATAAGTGCTTACTATTAATGCAATACACTTCTATTAATCATCTACTATGTGTCATGCTCAATCCTGAGAATCTAATATGTTCCAGGTTGTGTACAAGGAACTTCAGAGGAGAAACAGAGGAGCTTATAGAACATGCTTCCAGGTGCCAGACACTGCTAGACACCTTTGATAATACTAATAATGTCCCCAATTATCCCTGCAAGGCAGAGGATACTGTACTCATTTCACAGATGAAGAAACAGAAAGGCTAAATTACTTGCCAATATTCGCTGAGTGATGAAGCCAGGATGCAATCCCAAATCTAATTTTAAAGCCCACGAAATTCCCATGGGCTTTGTATGCCTCTTCTTCTCTCAAATGGGGATAATAATTAATGATGAATAGGGTCACAGCTT